CCTCGCGCAGTTCGCCGCGCGCCACCTGAGCGGCGTAGCCACCACGACGACGGTAGTACCGTGTGTGGGTCCTGACCTGAGCACCTGGTAGTGTGATGCACTACAATCTACCGGGAGGCGGCCGTTTGGCGCGACCCCGCCCATCGCGCCAAACGACATACACCCCAATCTACCAAAACTATTACTCCACCAAAAGGTCATTGCAAGGAGCGGATTTTCGTGCCGACTTTTCGTTCCCGTTGTGATGCCTTAGCTACTAGGATGTATTGTTGAATCGGTTTTTTAACTTGAAAATTATTTATCGTTAAGGTTTAGTGCTGCACACTGGATGTATTAGGTTGTTCGGAACGGAATGCGCGTTGAATTTGTTCATTTATTTCTCTCCTATTATACATGATTTTTTGAAACAATTCTGTCTATTAGAAAGAGATTTCTATTGCGCATCTTTTGATATTGTTTTTGTTTATGTCTACTTTGTCTTCTTTGGAGAAAAAAAAGTTTAGGAAATGCTTGACCGAAATTTCTTTTTGCGGATTGCATGTGGTATGACTTCAAGCAAGGCAAATCGGCTGCTGAAGCTCAGCATCTGAGGTATTTAGCGAAGAAGCCTTGTCAGAAAGTCAGTGTCGACGATGGTTCCAGCGTTTTAAAAACGGTACTGTAAGGTTAGAGGACGAAGANATCATTGAATTGGATCCACGCCAAACCACTCGAGAACTGGCGACACACTCTAGCTGCTCAAACTCTACCATCCATGAACATGTGCTGTCAATTGGCAAGACGAACAGGTGCGGGAAACGGGTATCGCACCGTCGCGTCGCGGGTCGGGTAGCTGGAATGGATCGCAAAATCATTTTGGAAAAAATTGAGGAATAGGAGCTGCGGAATCCTGCCTCGTTCTCCATATAGGCTAGACCTGGCACCATCCGACTACCACCTGTTCCAGTCGATGCAGCACTCCCTGGCCTAGAAAAAGTTCAAAAACCGCGAGGAAGTCCAACTCTGGGTGTTCAACTATTACACTTCGAGTCGCAGTCGACCGAGTTCTTCAGAAGATGAATCCTTCCTTTGCGTGAACATTGGCAACAAGCATTGATAGCGATGTAGATTCTCTTTCCAATTGATCTTGTTTAGTTCCTTTTTTACAATGAAATTTTTAAAGCTCAAATGCGCATTTCTTTCCGAACAGCCTAATCTTTTGAGCAGTGCAAAGTACCGTTATCCTCGCAACCCGTGTACCATTATCAATCGTGTAAAAAAAGGACAAACAAACAAAATACAAAGACTGGCAAAACAGCACGGAAAATAACGTAGGGAATAAGCAATCTCTACGAGCAAGTGAACTCATTAATTGATGTGGGCTAAAAATTCTTATAATGTGGAGCGGAACGCAATAGTAGCTTATCTGTTTTTATCCGCGGCCTTCAGTAGCGATGTAATTGTGATAGATAGATATGTAATAGATATAAGAGCAACTCTTATAATTGCTAATTCTTAAGAGGTCACTTCGGCAAATCAGCTGCTCTTTTCAATTCTGATACTTTTTGCAGGAATTCGAACCATGCTTTCAAAAAAAACTCATCAGGATTTACTCAAGCAGCCGAGTAAAGCACTCAGGGACTCACTACGAACCACTTATTAAATCAAACCATGCTACTTTTTAAATCAAACAGTGCTATTGTATGCAGGGAACCCATTCTGCTGCTTCCATTGAGCAACGTCAGGTTAGAGCCATTGAGCAACGCACTAACCATATTGTACGACTCCATCACTATTCTCCCTTTGTATGCACTTCTGCACCAAAAGCTTCAGCACCAATTACCTTACACTTCGTGAACTTTACTCAGATACATCTTCATCAGTAACACCACAGTTCAACACCGCAACCTGGATGAATGGGCTTTGGATAATTTTGGTGCAAGCGGAGACTCAAAGAGGTATGAGTGAGTCTCGGCTTCACATTCATAGCTTCCATTCGTCCATTGTTACAAATCGTGACAGTGGTTATGTTACTCCAACCAGTTCGTCTTACTTTCTTCAAGTTAAAGCCGCAGACACAAGAAAACATTCATGAACATTCATGGGCATTCTTGCATTCTCTCAGAGTGTTTCTTGTGAATGTACAAAGAGAGCTCACAATGAGNCTTCCCAAATATCGATTCTACTGTGACTGACTGAAAAAATGCAGGTACATACATTGAGCGTGCTTCTGGGACAAGCGGGTACTTTTCTCTCTCATCTCTCAGACACTTCATTCGTTGAACAGCAGTAACGACGCACTTGTACAGAGGTTCTACGTCCTATCGATGGCTATGCTTTTCAATTCAAGAGGAGTTTTTCTTTTCAAACAGAATAAAATCTTGACAAACTGCATTATCCTACAAAACAGACATACTCAGCTCAGTTTCAATTAATCATTTTGGCATCTTTCTCAGTGTTCGATAAGTACTTCTAATTCAACTGCGACTGCAACAAGTAGCTTCTATATATAACGCTGAAAGACCCTCTCTCCAAGATGAAAAGTAATTTTGATTCATCTTGCAACGGTTTGCGAGTTTGCCTCGCCCCTTCCCTTCCCGACTGATCAAATTCCGATGACTGTCTTGAGGGGTAGATTGACCCAGAGCTAAAGTCGAATCTGATCATCTGATTTTATATTAGCATTCAAAATCTGTTAGCAAAGTGTACAGCTTTGAAGCGTCTGTGGCGAGTAGTCAACTTGTAAAACACCGCTGCTCTTGTGCCAAGAGTTCCTTCCTAGTGGAGTGGCAGACTCCTATGAGCTACATATGTGGAGGTTCCCATCGTCGATGTATACCCTCGTTTTGTTTTCTTCATGAAGTAATGTCGAATTTGGACGCTCACAAAACAATATCGCCAGTCATGCAAATGATCTACAGCCCTAACCCTTTTCTAAAGGACACAGAAAATGGTCCCTTAAAGAAGTATCATGACGGAATTTCCCAATTTTGCTAGAGGAATTTGTATCCTCTTGAGAAGGGTAGGGATGCCAAATTTTTGTTCAAAATAGATTTGCGATTGATATGCGGCCTTTTGCACTTCTTGGATAGTGCTCGAGCAGTTTCGCAGAATTCCCTCAAAAAAAAAATACAACATGCAAAGTACCTTTTACTGATCCGTTGAAAGAAACACTGACACTCACCTAAAGACACCTTTCCGTCGAAAGGAACGAAAGTCACCGAAAACATCGGTGCTACACTATGTGATGCTATGTGTTTACTAAAAACCAAGTAATAATTCAGATAAAGTCGTTATTGCTGATTCTCTCTAGTCTCTTGATGATTCCTACGATGCAGCTCGAGCTAATCTCGAGAGGAAACCCTGAATCCTTCCGGCGATAAGCAAAATGATTATTCAAGAAAATATAGTTTCCCACTTCCAGTCATCGCCCATTCCCTTCCCTTTGAGGGTCCCTCCATATAAAAGGCGTTTTTATGTAGCTGTACGATCGATGTGGAAGAAGCAAAAGTGAAACTCAAAAATCCCCGCTAGCACGCCAGGGGTCTGGCACAGTGGTTGGGATCATCCGTTTTTACCCGAGCACATGATGCAGTTTTAGGTCGAGACGGAGCACTGCCCTTGGTCTTCTCAAGCATAATTATCGAAAAGTAAAACCTTAGATTACAATCAGAAGTAAAGAAACCCATGAAAAAATAAAGTCCATGCGTAATTAACCAAAAAAAAGCATAACTTCTAAGACGTTTCTTCTACTTTGCAAACTTCTCATCTTGAGGTCTATGTTGTAGATTCGTTAAATAAGCACTAGTTGACTGGAGCCTCTGGGTTCTCAGGAGTGTGGTGCAGTAGGAACGAAACGATCGCGTCGCGGCGATAGTCGCCGCGCGCGAAGAAAAGTAGCAGGATGCAGCAGCAAGTAAGAAATTCAGGAACAAAAGAAATAACAGTGGAATAATGTTTAAAGTAGTAATCGCATAGCGACTTAGCTGTACGAAGAACGCTAGAACTGTTATAACGAGGCAAATGGTCCGCGACAGCCGCGTGCGGCGGATCGATTACACAGAACCGTTCCTACTGCCCGTCTCCCGTTCTCAGTACCTCATCGAAAAGACCTCTATAAGCTCCAAACATACAGTATGGTCGAGATGATCGAAATTGCAATGGTTTCTCTGAAGTCAGAATACGGACGANAAAAACTGAAAAGGTCACTCTGAACGGAGTTTTCTCCGATGTAACAGTCACCTGATCACCTTGCAGAGTGCTGCAAATACAGTTCGGGAACATCACAGGTCCTCTAGAGTTTCGATGCTCCCTTAGTCCCAGTGGGCTTAAGGTTTTGTTCCACTTCAAGATCTCTTTATTTGCAATAGCCGTTTCTGCGTAGGACAGAATGAAAACCTGTGAATCACTTATGAGATGGTCTCCAAGAGATGTGTTCGCGACTAGAGATGAAACCTAAGTGAATCACAGACTAGGACCACCTCAGTAGCTTGAAAGATGCGATCTTAAATAGAATTAGTTATTTCTTACAAGAGGAACCCGAAAGCAAAATCAGTTTTTCAAACTCGACGTATCGCCTACGTTCAATAGTGCGCGCCTTGGTAAGGACGTGCGATCGATACCCAAATCAACTATGAGCAAAGTTCCCGATTACATTCGCTAGTTCAGGTTCGATATGGACTCGAACATGTCCCAATATGCATGGGAAAGGAAGTTGTGAAGACCTTTTATGGGAGGATCAGCATCTGCAGGAGTTGTTTTCCACCGCTGTCGCACTGGCACCTGCGACGCGGCCCCTCGAAAAATGAGTCTTTTACTGAGTTTTCCTGGAACCCTTTGAGATGTTTCCACAGACAGCTACGTTGGTTGTAGAGTACTGACAGCTTTTCTCGAATGTGGCGATTTTGCCCAGATTCCTTGCGTTTGGAACGGGATAAAAGGATGGAAATCGCGCCAATGATGTTTTCCGTTTCGAGAAAAACAGTCGTAATATGAAAACGAAAACAAATAACACCAAAATTATGAATGATTCTGTTAGATGAATGCATTCCGAAGCATCCAAGAAAGGTGCCCGTATTGAAACAGAAGACCTTCCGCATGAAAAGTTCCCTCAAACGCAGTCATCTCGAAAAATTTCTCCGACGCCGTGGTTTGGGAAGCTCCTGTGCACTGAATACCAAGTGTTTCAGGACAATCTCATACTTGCCAGGAAGCAGAGACCTTTCTTCTTCACATCCGCTGTAAAACTTCAGAAATAACTATTATTCGTGAGTTTTCAGGACGGTTTTCCAGCGAATACTTACAGCGTCAGGGCGCGTATCACGCTTTCGAGCGAACTCTTTGGTGGAGGCGCAACGGGGGAACCCTTCCCGCTATATGTATCAATCGGCGGGGCTGCTTGTCATCGTCTCGCTCAGGTTGTGCTGAACTGCGTATTCTTATTGAAATNNNNGGTTTTACTAAATTGAAGTTGAAGTATGTCTGAAGCTGCTGAAGCTCAAGCTGCTGCTCCGAGCACAACGACGGCTGCAAAGAAGTCAAAGGTATACTTGTATGGCCTATGCTTCGAATTTATTGTGGGCCTGTTTTGGTTTTGTACTGGAATTATGGAAAAAGTTTCAGGCTGCGAAGCCCAAGGGAGAGAAGAAGTCGAGAGCTGCTCCAAGTCATCCTGTGTATGGTGCTATGATCAAGGCCGCCATCAAGGGAATTGAAGATCGCAAGGGAGCGTCGAAGCAGGCTATTTTCAAGTATATCGTCCAGAAGTATAAGCTCGGTGATAATGAGAAAATGGTGAGTTGTGATGAGTTTAGTGCTGAGGTGTAAATTTCTGTAATTTCTCTGCTATAATTTGCATTGCTGATTGCTTGGTTGCAGATCAATGCTCACCTTCGCTTGGCACTCAAAAAGGGTGTCCAGTCTGGGCTTCTCAAACAGGCTTCGGGAACTGGTGCTGCTGGGAGGTTCCGTCTTGGAGATAAAACTGAAGGAGCTACGAAACCGAAAGCCGTTAGGAAACCTAAGCCAGCTAGCGAGGGTGCTCCAGCAAAGAAAGCGGCAGCTGCCAAGCCCAAGGTAGTACTGTTATTGTATTACTTTATTTCATCAAACTAGTGTAAGTCACTGTTGCGAATGATTTACTTGATGATCGGTTCATTTTTAGGCCCCTAAGGCAAAGAAGGAGAAATCTGCCAAATCTCCGAAGAAATCAGCAAAGCCAAAAGCAAAAACTGCCAAGTCACCGAAGAAGGCCAGCTCCACGAAAAAAGCTGCTGCGAAGCCGAAGAAGACTACCAAGAAGGCTGCTGCTGCAAAAGCGTGAATTCCCATTACTTACCATTGTTGAGGTTTACATGATCTCTTGTACATAATAGTATATTGGTTATTGAAGTTACTTATATTACGGTTACCACTATTCAGTTCAGTTCAGAGAAGAGTACAACTATTCCTTGTTAATAAACCATTATTAGATTGCAGCTGATCGATGTGGGAAGGGGTAGGTGGGTAAATGGGTTTCGTTTTCATATTCTTGCAGTGAGCTTTTGTTGCGGGTCTGTGAAATTTCGTATAGTGGCAGTTTCATCACCATTACAGTAATTACAACCCTTCTCTCGGCATGCGAAATTGGCGGATCACGTTGATATAATTTCTATCGATTCTCCGATCCTTCCATTTTTTGTTAGTTGGTATGACAGTGAGGAGAGTGGCGTGGATATTAACCCATTGACGACCATGGCGTTTTGCGGGAAAACCGCCGCGAGGGACCGGCGCGCTTTTCGTCCACTCTCATGGTCCAGCATGACCATTTTTTTGAAGTTTATAAGAGATATTTATGAGGTTTCGGAATGTTCCTTCGAATGGGTTCGAAAAGAATGCCCACACTGAGTGATTGATGATCTTTATTATAGAACCGGCACTCAGTCTAGTGGTCATCCAATTATCAGTTCAATCATTACCAGTAATCGTTTTGGGGGAACTTTTACAAGCTCTGCATTT